ATGGGTATTTTGGCTCGACTACGTCTTGGCAAAACACGAACCATGGCTCGACCAAACTTCGACTGATATGCCGCTGAAGCGTAGCAAAAAGGTGCGATTCCGTATAAAAACGTCTACAAGGATACACTTAGGAAATTAAGTTACTATAGGACTAAAGTGATTTTGCTACAGGCAAATATGAAACATTTGCTTCCTCCGAGGACTGTCAATTCTTCTCGCGCACACTTTGAACAAATATTTAGCAATCAGTCGACTTGTTCAAGATTCGATTCCCGTTTCGTCTAGTGTTCTTTTCCTTGCCGAACTTCTCAGAGAAGTCAGAGGCTAGGGAGCAGACTGCACTCACGAGGGTTAAAACGGACAACATTTTGGCTCTGGAATCAGAACATTGATTCCATACAGATCCACCAAGTCGGACAGGAAATGTAAATCACCCTTTGGATCAAGTCCTATGCTTCGGATCATTTCTGGTGTTAATACTCTGTCCTCAGTAGAAGCCACTTCAAAGAGCATCTGGAAAAGTGAGTTGTTTAAATTCACAAAGAACCTGCAATGAGACACAGAAAATAGTTATGAGTTAAACAGTTTAAACCGAACATCGTACATATCCTAGAGGGAAGGTGCTGGTCTTGATTCTAACATGGAAATTCTCGGAGGACGCNATATCCAGTTGAAAGATAACTACATTTTTAGACAGGCACAGAAACAGACAAACAGAAGTAGGCTTAGAAAGCCTTTTGAAGCTTAGTTGTTCTGAAGGCTGGCACTTACCAGTAACTCTGATTCCTGTTGCAAGAAACAATTAGGAACACCCCTCCTTCGAAATACTGTTACTGTCACAGGCTACCCCTCCCCCTTACTTCCCCCAAAAAATTTTACAACCATATACTCCTTGATGAGACATGGGACTCTAATCTAGTGAGGTATGGCCTGAGCTCTACCTGGAGCATTCAGTGGAGTGGTTGGAAACACATTGAAATCAGGTTACTGTGTCTCCCCCTTCATTAACAGGAGAGATACTAAATAATGAAAATTCCAACTTAAAGCATTCTGAGCAAAAACATCAGTCCTCTTTCATTTCCTGTGTTTCCAAATGCTGTAACTTACTCCTCTCCCACCATCTAATAGCCTATACAAGGCCAGACTGGGTTCAGTAGATTGTGTTTAAAGTTGAGGAAGGATTGTAGCACTGGATTCCTATAAAGTAAGCGTTTCTCTCTCACCTGAAGATGTCCAATTGTTCTAGCCGATCTCTGTCAGCATTATTAAAATGCGCAATCCAACTCAAGTGTGGTTTGCACTTTATATTCTGATTATCAACATAAACATCATACACTTCCAATTTACTCTCAAAAATCTTTTCTGTGGTACCTAAAGAGCAAAAGAAAAGTTTTCACATTGAGTTCACAAATGTAACAATGTGTCATTACAGATAAAGGTTTTTTTAACACCTATTATTTTGCGATTGTTCAAGGGTTGTATTCTATTTGTTTCCCTGCATGTTGGCAAATACTGTTCTAGACCATAAAGCAAGTGGGAAAAGGGAATTGTAGTGGTCTAATTGGCATTTGCCCGAAGGAGAGTTTGGTCTAATTGGCATTTGCCCGAAGGAGAGTTTGATGGTTTCTCAAGTATACAATCTTAGGCCATTTTGATTTCGCTGTTGCTATGAGACTCCACACTCATGCAGAGTACTTTGCAGTGTGTTTTTGAAGTTGCAATGTGTATAAAGGGTATTTTTTTTTGTTAAACTGGAGGCAATTGAGGCCTACTTTATTTTGTCCTGTGTCAATAGAAATTCAAGAAAACTGGCCTGACTGGCCACAAACCACTGAAGTTAATTTAAAGCCTTACTAATGGTATGTGCATCATGATGTCCCCATTGTGATGGACACTTTATGGCATCTTATATCCCATGCACATAACTGATTCTCTAGACAAGTAAGTGACAAGGGATGGGCAGGAGAGGAGGAAACAAATTCTGTAACACCAATACTATTTCATTCAGAACTTCTTGATCAACTTACATGCAATGTATTTGTGTTCCTCTTGTAGTGCACTTAGGTCACAAACATTAGTAAAAAAGAGAGGGTTACTACCAGTTTCAAAACCAAATGGAATTCCATGGCTTGCCAACAAACACGCACAGTAAACTGTAAAGGAGATAAAACCAGTTTAAGGAATGATGCGAAAGTAGAGATCTTTATTTGAATGCAACATTTAAAGCAACTCTTATGGACACATTCTGAAGCAAATAGTAACTTGTGTTTCTATCCACCTTTGAAAACAATGAGATTGGAGGGGGAACAAAATTACTCATAGCTGATTTCTCGACGAACAAGTCTTAAAGTCATTTGTCAAAAGCACAGGAAAGGAAAGACATTAATTTATTTTAGATCCAATGTGAAAACTGCAATCCTTGGTGAACATTTGCAATTAACTGTAGTCACATAATTTGCAGTCCTGCCCCGTGAGATTCAGAGGCTTTTGGAAAGTAGTAGTTTCCTTCTTATAGATATCCTGTGACTTTGAAGCAGTCAATGAAAGAATGTTCTGTTGGGGATAAGATTTCAGCTACAGCTCTAAAATGTATATATACAATTATAATGTTTAGCGTGAGTGCTGGTACACAATGTCATGCAATATCATATTATTCAAAACTTTTTCATGCTATGTTATGCTCATTATGTATTGGTATATTTTTTTAAATATTAAATTATTGTCTGCATAAAAGAGTGTGTTATGTACAATGACCAAAACATGCTAAGGGAGAAAAAAAACCTGACAGCCAGGCATGACAGATTATCAGGGTATACAAATATGGCACATTATTTGGTATAATTCCTTCCAAAGTACGCATATCTAACATTACTTTACTATTCAACCACAATGTACCTCTGTAACAAGCCACTCCCACAGGAGGTGGAGAAAAGAATAAAATTCTTTTTTGTAGCAGCACAAATTTCCAAAGTACAAATATGTGTTCTCCAAAGAACTTGATAAACTGAGGAAAACACCCAGCTGGATGTGTGATCTGTTGACAAGTCAAAAATGAATATTAATCCAAGAAATTTACAAATTAAGTGAAGTTGCTTGAAATTTTCTGTATTTTATGTGCACAGGCTTAAAACATCATGTATGATATCTGACATAATTATTTTTGAAGCTAAAATTTGTAGACTCTCAGTTTTTGTTCCTGATTATAAATATTCAAGGTAAATTACAACTTTGTCATAGAACAAATGCCCTTTGTGCCTGACTATAATTTCTAAAGCATCTGTAGCTACAGTATGACTGGGTATTTTCCTGCAAAAGAAATGCTACCAACAGGACGTATGTAATATTTTATTAGTATAATTGTAATAAGGAACCTTCTAATTCTAATTTATTGCTTGTGAAGCAACTAGCAGCAGTTGAATGAAGTACAGTGTTCACAAGACATGGGCAAGTTATCTTGAATGTTACTTTGAGATAATCTGTAGGAGCTTTCAAATAGGACTGGATTTCAAATAATGAAAAGTAGAATAATGCAATTTTTACCCTCAACACTGGTATTTCCTCCAGCCCTGGAGCCTTCTCAAGAGTTGGAGAAGGAATGTAATTATTTCTAAGAACGCAGTTCTTATAACTGTGGTAGTAGTTTTCTAAGTCCTCATAATGTCCAGGGTTTTCAAGCTGCCTCCTAGGAATAAGCAAATGCACTTTTTAACAACTTTTGAAACTTAAAGGTGTTCAATAATGCATAATTCACACATTTACACTCATGAAGAGAAAGAAATACAGGTAATACAACACTCCTACACAGTCTTAAGTGAGAAAAGTGGGCCAACTTCAATGCCTTTCTGTTAACAAACATGTACAAGTCAGGAAGGTACCCTTCCTCCTGCATGGTGAATGCTGATTGGTCAATTAAAATTTTTAGAGGCACTGGTTGTTGTGATGATATTTTGTTTGTTGTACATGAAGTGTATGCACTGACAAATAAGTGTGTAGCCCAGATGAAAGCGTGTTCAGTTCATTAAAAGTTGTGCAAGGCTAGTGTAAGTAGAAAATACCACCAAAATATGCTACTGATGCTTTTTTTTAATGAGTAAATGAAAAATATCTGACACAGAAGACAATCAAATCATCTTTCTTTATGTTAAGTCGTCTACTATAATAACTTAACATAGATGGATTAAGTGAGATCTTACCTAACTTCCTCTTCAAGAAATGGTATGTGTTCATGTAGAGATGTGTACTTTGCACAAAGGATACCCACTGACTTCATTCTGGCACCTCTCTCCGCCACATTATCAACAGCTATTCTCTCATAACAACTAAGTCCATAAAGACCATCTCTGGTTTTGAAGTATCTAATAACAGGAAAGGAAAGGTAACATCTTATTAGTGCCCTGCTTAGCAAATTTCCGAACATTATGGTCTATCAAATGAATGTAAAGAGTAAGTGATGCACAGAAATGGAGAGAAGCTGACATAATACACTCTTCAATGTTAAAGCAATGTTCTTGTTCCCTCACCACAGTTGTTTAAAAGTCACATAATGCTATCCACTGGATAAATCACTATCCAGTGTATGGCTTGGTTTGTCACTTTTTACATGCAGGTTTATCCACTATATAGTGTTATCCGACATTTGCACAACTGGCCCCTGGACTGTTAGGATCAAGTGTACTTGAGACATCTTTCGGTCGATACCATCGGTTCACACATCGGCCGAGTGTCGATCAATAAGCTATTCAAGTTGGTAGACTGTCGGTCACCACTATCGGTCGACAATTACCCACCGAAATACACAGACATAATGGACATACACAGTCGGTATGTCCATTGATCCTTGTCCGACACCTTGACCATTATGCTGGCGTCGCATATCGGTCAACTGTCTGTGGTGTATCGGTCAACTGTAACTGGTATATGTGTATTGTTAACCTTTGGTGTACTGAAATGGTACCCATCGCCTAGCCCCTTCCCTTTACCCACAGGGGAAGTGAAAGAAGAGTCTCTATCGCCTGTGCTCATATGTTGATAGGGCGAGGATACAGCTCAAACAGCTGTCATTTCGAATGTACCTGTACATCTACTTGTATATTGAATATATATCTAACTTACATTCCTCAGGCTTTAGAATGGATGAAGGAAGGGGTAAATGAAGAAATGAATGAAGAAATGTAACTAACAAACAAAAGTCTCATTAAAAAATCAATAGCATTTGACAGTTAAAGCAACAACTGCTAAACACCTACTCCTCTATTTATCATTGTTTTAGACTTTAGCTGGTCTGCAATATATTATAAAAGTGATGACAAGAAAAAAAAAAAAAAGCTGAAAAAGACAGTCTTTGACATAGATGAATGTTGCCGGCACGAAAGGTCAAGAACAGATGATGGCTACTGAAAGTCCCTTGCAAAGGCCAGGGCTAGACAAAATTATTTAATATTTGAGTAGTGAAGATAGAACTCAGTAACAAGAGCTGACCAAATGACCGTAGTGTTGGCATAGTGTTGGTGAAGTGTCGGCCGAGTGTTGGTAAAGTATCGGCCGAGTGTCAACCAAGTATCGTTGGCCACGTGCATCAGTTGAGAGGCAACCGAATTTTGGTCAATATATCAGCCAATACTTGGTCGATATACCGACCAACACTCGTGGTTGACATGTTGATCGATAGCGTTGGTTGATACTTGACGAACAGATGTCTTAAAAACACATGATCCGACTATTAATTAACACCAGTATTAAATACACTCCAATGGAATTTTATCAGGCATCTACCAAAAAAACTAAATGTGGAACAAGTCAGGAAAAAAGAAGAAATACTGATGTCAGTATTGTAAAGTACATGGATCTTCCAATAAAAAAAAAAAAAAAGGAAGAAGAAGAAATGCAGTTTATATAGACTTACATGAAGTCTTTTGTGATTGTGTGTGAACCACTGGCCAGGGCTTTGAACTCCACTCCAGTTAAATCCACTGATCTGGGATGTTTCCATTCTATTTCATTTCCTTTAAAAACAAGGCTAAGCTTTTCAGACATGTTCATTAAGCAATTATTATTACTTACATATTTTTTTATTTCACTGAATAACTTTAACAAAACATCATTTAATTTGCCCAATCAGCACTATTGCTTTCCATGTGCATTATTTGTCAAATTTTCGTCCACACAGAGCATTTAGTGTTAAGATTCTTAATGGCAGGCCACAGTACAACCAGTCAAGTGTTCATCAAACAAGATACTGCCCTCTGGATAATATAAAAGTTCTTCATAATTGAGGCCACAACATCAAGAGTTTTATGAAGCTGAGAGGATATCTATCATTGTTTTGGTATCTGTTGACAAACGTTTGATTAATACAGTATAAATAATAAAGGGTTCTGTATTTCCAAGTAAGCAGAGTGATAGATTCAGGTTAATGTTTTTTTTTTTTAGCAAAAGACCTCATAAGACGAATAAAATTAAACCTGGTATAAATTCAGATAAATTATAATGAAGTAATCTACCGCAGACTAACGAAAAAGAACCTTAATTAATCATCAGTACTAAACTCCCAGAAGACTATGGACACTTATATTTTACACGGATTAGCTACAAGTGTCATATAAGCTTACTATTTTGAAAAGTCTTACCTCTTCTTGTATCGAATTGTACGACATAAACAGCGATTATGAGATCAGGAACTACTCTTTCCTGTTCACTCGTATTTCCTCCGGTGTCTTGTAGAAACGAAAAATTTGCACCGGAAGTAACATCTTCATCTCTTAGCGGCAGTGATGGAATATCTTGTCTCGGATCGTAAGAAGTATCAGGAACTTCTTCGAAATCGACAAGGCAAGCATCGTCCGCCATTCCTGCCTAATCATGATCAGGGGTGACTAAGTACTTGCTTGGGAGGGTAGGGACAGTAGACGCGGACTCAAGATTTTTAGGAGCCTGGGACGAGACAGTTCACGGCACGTTCTCCATGTTCTCTCCTCTTGCCAACTTTTTCATTCAAATTTCTCTTGATCTGCGTTATATTTCTTCGTTAACAACCAATCAGGGCATAGTTAAACTAGTGCTTTGACTAGGTTTCACTGTTATACTGGCAAACACATTGCCCTTTTCTTCTGTTAAGATAATAATTTAGCTGAGATTGTGTGATTAATATAAGTTTCTGTGATGAACCCTTTTCTGGAAGATGGAGACAAAGAAAATGAGTTTAAAATTTATTTAGACTACAATGCAACAACACCACTGGAACCAACAGTACTGACAGCCATCCATAACGCTTTGCAAGATGCCTGGGGAAATCCCAGCAGTTCTTACACAGCAGGAAAGAAAGCAGGTCACATGATCAAACAAGCCCGCTGCTCCATGGCCAACATGATTGGTGGATTAGAGAGTGACATCATCTTTACATCAGGTGGTACAGAGGCAAATAACATGGTCATTCATTCTGCTTTAGAATATTTCCATGAATTTAACAAGGAAAGAGGGAATTGTAAACCTGATTTGAAACCTCATGTAATAACGTCAAATCTGGAACATGATTCTATTCAACTACCACTCCTACATCTTGAAAAGCAGGGCAAAATTGAGGTAACATTTGTCCCTGCCTCACAAAACTCTGGTGCAGTAACTGCAGAAGCAATAGTACAGGAGGTCAAACCAAGTACATGCCTGGTGACTGTCATGATGGCTAACAATGAAACAGGAGTGATTCAGGTAATTAATAATAAGGAAAGGGTTCCACCAGGGATGCCAATGTGAAAATATTGAAATCTGGGAGATAACAAAATTATCTTTTCTCAACCCTCCAAAACACAGTGTAAGAGAGATGCCAACATGAAAAAGTTGAAATCTGGTAGACCTGCAATTTTACTTTATTGCCCTAAGAAAACATTGTTAAAAGTAAAGGTTTTCAGAATCAAGCACAAAATTGAGTCAAATTTTTCAAAAAATTTCACCCTAAATGTTAAAAATCGGCCAAGGGTTGCCAAGATACATTGAGTGCTTTTGTTTGTATCTGGGAGATGTTTTGAGGTACCAGTGCATGAGACCGGGATATTGAGTTCTAATCTGGGAGAGTTGGTTCAGATGTTGTTCAAAGTAGAGTTCTGCCAAATCAGCCCCAAAAATGTGTCAAATAGCTTACAATTTTCCCATGAAAACACTAAAATTTATCAACTTAAAAAATAAGTGCAAAAAATTACTTTAAGCACTTCAGTTAGTATCCAGGAAATATGATGACCAGTATGGGAGTCTAGGAGATTTGGTCTGTATGCGGAAGACTCCCGCAAAATCTTCGAGAATTGGCAAATGTGTTCTTCTTTCAAACACAAGTGTTTGTTTTTGATTGGAACATGCTAGACTGTCTAGTAGCTGCGTGTTAAAACCAATGGTGCTTAAAAGGTCTAAAACTGTTGGAGTGATCTGTGCTCATAGTTCTTTAAAAAACGTTTAAAACAGATCTAAAAAGTAAAATTGTCTCTAAACTTTTGACCGCCTTCTGCGGTCTTCTTCAGAGAATGATGATTTCGCACGATTCACAGAATTTTGATAAGCTGGGACATTATTGTTTGTTGCCCCTTAGGGAGGCAACCAGTGACGCGTAAACCCTTGGGAAGGGTGCTCTTTCATTTACGGAGTTTTTGTCTAAGAAAGAGTGCAAGGATTCCAGAAACAGTCTTTTGTTCTTGCCGCTCACACCTGTTTCAAGAATGTTGGCATAAATAGGATGTATATCGTGGCCAGTTTCTGCATGTTGTTTAATTGCGGAATTGACATTTCCATTGGTTCCGGGCTTGTGTTCGGCCCCCCGAGATTTCCAATTTCTTCTGCTTTCCCCGACATACGGGAAAGAACATGTCCTACAGGTCACTTTGTACACAATGCCTTTTAATTGCTCTTTTGTCGGCCGGTCTTTGGGCTTTTTGAAAACATTTCCCAATGTTTCTACTGGTTTGAAAGCTGTCCTGATGTTTTCACGGCTCAAAATGCGTTGAACACGTTCTGACACTCCTTTTACATATGGAATTGATGTGTATGCCTGTGGATTCTCCTGGGGTCTTGGTTGCGTGTTTGTTCTGTTCGATTCACCAACTGACTTGATGAAGCTCTCGGGATAACCATTAGCTAGTCTGGTTATTGACTTATCTCCCATACCCTAACTTACACAGAATCTAAACTAGAAGTATGTACCCAGCTGGGCCTGACAAAAGGTACTGATGGGATACATTCTGAGGGGAGGGACTGTCAGCTCTTCAACTCCTTTTCAAAATAGTTCTTCATCTGGACAATACGTGCTGTTCTCTCTGTCTATATCTAATGTATTACAATGCTTTTAAAAAATCAAAACCATCCTCAATTACTGAAATTACACTGTTTTTTTTGTTTTGTTTTTTTTTTGTTTTTTTTAGCCAATTGCAGACATTTCCAAAGCCATTAGAAGCCTAACAAAGAGCCGTTTATCTCAGAACATCCCTAGGATTCTTGTCCATACAGATGCAGCACAAACCATTGGCAAAGTTAAAGTTGACGTGGATGAGCTTGGAGTTGATTACCTGACAGTTGTTGGACACAAATTTTATGGACCTCGCATAGGTAATGTGCAAGAGGGGTGCTATGGGGAAGTACCAAGAGAGTCTATATATGGCCTCCCTGTGAATTGTTTGGGCTTTGATCCATCCACTTAAATGCTATGTTTCCCAAAACTAAGACTACTCAGTGGACAGGAAATGTAAATTCTTGTGTTAATATATAACAGTACTCTCAAGAAAGGTCTGTCAGACTATTTCTATGTTTAGGGCATTTGGTTTCAAATCAAGAAGGGGTGTGAAACAACACTACTCTAAGATCTCTTATTCTAACAGCACCTCATTCCACTGACATGATGATGGCCTGCATTGACATACCATTCTATGGAAGACAATAATCAAACTTCTGTCATTTATCCAACAGGGGCATTGTATGTGAGACATCCACGAACAGACACTCCTCTACACCCCATGTTTTTTGGAGGAGGTCAAGAGAGGAACTTTAGACCAGGAACAGAAAACACTGGTATGATAGCTGGATTAGGATGTGCCTCCCAGCTGGTGGTGGACAACTTGGAGAAATATCATGACAACATGAAAATGGTTAGTATGGGTAAAATTCAAACCCTGGTTGAGCACCAGGTAAAGCCTTAAAATAAGTCAACTTTCCTGGGGCGGGTACAGGATGTAAGAGAAGGGGGTTTGAGATATGAACCGCTGAAGATGTTCCCTGTACGGGGGTCTAGGGTAATCCTCCCCCAGACAATTTTTAAAATTGAGGTCTTTGGAAACGGGATTTTCAGCATTGTGAGATCTGCCTCAGCTTTCTTACTCTTTCATGTTCTCTTTATCTTCTGTCAGCTCTGTGCTTATTTGTCTGTCTGTTTGGGCATAGCATACATTGACTATTTGATATCAACAGAATAATAAAATGTTTCTATCCTTGTTAATCAGTCACAAAGAGTTGATAGCATTTGCGTGTAGTTGGGGGATTAAGAGATGAGTTTCTAATTGATTAAATTAAACTATAATAATTGAATGAAATTCGATAATTGATATGTAATGCTGTAAAGGTAGTGTAGGGAAACGAAACCAGTGATGTACATGTATATGTAATCACCACCTGTTATACTACCAAATATTCAATGGATGAACAAATAAATATAAGTGATGAAAACAAAAATTTCAGGACGATTTAGTCATAGTAGATTTAAGCCCTTTTTTTCCGTTCTCTTTTTTAGGTGAGAGACCACCTAGAGTCCAGACTGAAGGAGACATTTCAGAACAAAATTCAATTCAATGGAAAATTTGAGACTAGTGACCGAATACCCAATACGTGCAATGTGTCATTTATTGGCTCCGGATTAGAAGGTCGGAAAATTCTCGCCACTGTTAAAACGTTTCAAGCCAGTGTCGGGGCTGCATGTCACTCTGATGTTGTTTCGCGTCCCTCTCATATCTTAACTGCCATTGGAGTTCCTCACGACATTGCAATGAATGCTCTGCGACTTAGTGTGGGAAGAAACACAACCAAGGAGGACATTGATGTTGTAGTGGAAGATCTCAAGGTTGCTGTCAAGTGTCTCGAGCAATGATAAATTATGTTGTTTTAATACAAAATACTGAAAAAGAGATTATTTATAGTCTAGGTAAATATCATGACACGCCTAAAGTCTCACAGTCTTCTTGCTAATTCATAAAACAACTTTTGTGGATACGCTATACATGGGTATAAAACTATAATCATGTTAAGAACTCACTGGAACTTAAATGAACAGTGTTCTAAAAATATAAAATTAATCCTCATTCAATCGATAGTTTTGAACAAAATAACAAAAGCGCTGGTGGATGGTGAATAAATCCATTAAATCCATTTGTGACCTGAATAGTTTTTGCTGAAGAAGGAGGTCATGTTAAACCTTTTTAATTTACTAAAGTAGCTTGTTTTTTTCCTCTTCGCTTTTCTTCGTTCCCATGGCGTGTTACAACGACGGGTATCTCTACTTTTTAAGGCATGTAATGCGTCCGTTGTCTTGCTATGTAAACGGTAATATTTATCCTAGAAAGAGTTCTATGTGGTTAATACTTACCCGATGCTTATCTCTCTACTCTTACTTGGTTTGTCCTTTGCCACATCGTCAAATGTCGCAGAGAGTGTGCGAATTCTCGCGTACAACGGGGTTGGAAACACATAAAAAGTAAATGGGGAACTCGAAGGTTCTATTGGCTGATAGTTTCCCTTCGCAGCCCTCGATAGGTTTTAGACATAACTAACGATCAACGATCTATCAAGTAGAAATTTATTTCTTCTTCAAAAACCTCATGAAAACACAAATTTGAAGCCACCACTCCACACGCCGTGCTTCCCTTAAAAAAGATTTTAGCATATTAAATATGGAACGTACTTGGTAATTGTGTGGATTGTGTTGCTGACTATGTGATTTCATGTCCTGTTATGGATCTCAAAGGCCAAATAGAGCGAAATTTCCATCTGTTAGATCAATGCGAGTTTATGAAGCATCGCAGAGCCGACTTCATTGAAGGTTGAAAAAAAAAACAATGTAGACAACGTTATCGAAACAGGATTAGAGTAAAGAACGAAGATCAACAAAAAACTAGTAAAAGTAAGAAAGATTGAGATGCTGCTGTTTTGTTTTCGTATATTGTCAAGTCAGTCTAGATGTTCGTATAAATCCGGCATCACACTTTAATCTGTCCTGATTCGTTAGTTGAAAATTAAAGAACAAAAAGTCTTCAGAGGGCGAAACCTTTTTTTCCTGAATCACTTCCTTTTCTGAAAATCGTAGCTGACTATTTATTCGCGCCTATCTTTCGTCCTCAGACAACACGCATATTTTCCATATCACAAATATTCAAGGTGACTAAGGGTAAACATCTTTGACCGTTAACAGCCTTCCAAGCAGAAATTGTACCCAAAAAAATCAGTTGGGTGTCTGATTCTAAATAAGCTTACTTACAAACCAGTCACACCTTCAAAAATTGGCGAAAAACTCGAAAAACCCGGTAATTAAAAACCTGAGTGAAAACTGTTGACCGCGACCACTGAGAGGTACTTAACACATGGCAAACACAACTCAAGATAACAGTGTGTATGCGTTTAAAATTAGTCGGTAAATACAGTTTATCCTTGCAAAACTACTGCAGTTACAAGAGGACTTACCGTAATTCAGGTCATGCCTTTGTTAACCAACGAAAATGCCTTTACAATACACTCAGAACTCTCTTGTTCACAAGAAGTCGTATTTTATTCAAATTGAACTTTGTACTGAATTTCACTTCGTCGAACTTTTCGCGTTGTTTTCCTTTCGGTTGCACCTTGTACCTGTAAAGCTGCTCCTTCACATTTTCTGTGTTAGATGTTCGTTTGGATGGAATCTTTTGCTCAGTGTTATTACAGCCCTTTTCTTTCTCTCTGAAAGAACCCTTCGTAGTAAGCAGAACTTCTGAGAGAACAAAAGACCTCTTTGTATTTGCATGTGATTGTATTTCACTTAACGGACAATAACACTTGTACTTTGCACCTACAAAGCGTACAAAAGGAAGTACCATGGTATAATCATCTCCGATTACACCGATCGTCGCTTCCTTTGATTTTAAATTACAAACAAAGTTGGAATAAACTACTGTTGGAACCAAGGAATGTCTTCTCCTTCACGCTCGTAGAAATCTTTAGCGAAATAGATCCTTCTGTAACAGGAAGTCGGATCGAGAGTCCGTACAAGCTAGCCAAGAGGTTCTCAAGAGCTTATTTTCCCTCAAGGTCTTTTCAGTGCCTTCCCCGCTATGGCCCAAAAGTTTTCGTTCAACCAAAAATGCACAATAAAGTCCCCAGGGAAGAAATCTATCGTCACGGCAAAAGATCGGCCTTTTGCAGAACTAAATATTGCAAATCACCCATATCTCCGGAAAGAGGGAAAAAAAAAAACAAACTTTAATAATAATGTTATTATTTTCAAAGCCCAAACCTGAGGGAAAACCGTTGACCGGAAGCAAGGGTTAAGAGGTACTATAAAGCCAAATTATTACGGCTTTATTGGTCCTGCCAAGCGATAAGAGATTTTAAACAACGAAAAAAAACTCATTCCCCATAGGACAGACATTTTATTGATTGTTATGTCGTGTGGAAACGTTCAATAACAAAGGCAGTTACAGCTTACGATATGTGATTTATGTACGATGTGAACGGCAGATCGGAAAAGGAGTTCATATGGGAAGCCGTAGAATCGGACCTGTGAAATGACCTTGTAATTGTTATTGTGTTTAAGCTTAGAGATAACAGAATGATGTAACAGCTGGTTGAATCTATACCAAACTTACAGATTGCATATGCTGGTTTACAAGTTACTGGTGTCATTCACGTGACCAATGAGTTCAAAGAGTATGGATTTTAAATTACAAAATTGAAAAGTGTGGAAATATCATTTCCGCTCCTTTCAAAGTTACAGCAACAGACAGTCAAACAGACACAGAAACTGGCAATAAATTTATGACATATGTTTTCAAGTATTTTTAGGTTATCAGGAGCTCAGTAAAGTCACGGTATTTTCACTTATTTCAGCCACCTATTAAATTACCTTTGAATCGAAGGAAACCTGAAAATAACAGATAGTTTACTAAGATGACTTAAGATAGAATAATAAATCACAAGGATGGCTAATGATGGAGAAGATAACACAGATTACAAACCGCAAACTAAGGCTAAACCCGAGACGCGCAAACAGTGACGTAACCCCTTAAAGTTTACATGGGATTACTCTGAAAGAGGCAGAAGGAAGAAATTAGAGATCCTTAGTAGTGACCAATGATTCAACGAGGTTATTTCGCAAATGCACGCAAGTAGTTGTTTCATACCAGAAAATGATTCAAAATGCTGTCAATTTGCAAAAAGCGTTTTTGGCTCGGGATATTGAAGTGTTTTTGCATTTGATTCCAAAAACCGGCGGAGCGCTTAGAAACATCTGTCAGTGTTATAGAATGGTTAATAAGCCAGGATTCGCAAGTTATGATCGTAACTGAGAAGTG